CACACACACACACACACACACACACACACACACAAAGGAGGGATACAAGTGAAATAAATCATTGTTTGGATGGATGCAAGGGAATATATATTCCAGTTATATACAGCATAAGGGTCAGTCTTAGACATTGAAATTATAAACAAACAAGTGTTCAAAGAAGCAGAAAGATTAAGAAAACAAGTAAATTATAGCAGCAGGCCATTGTTAGTTTGGTTACTTTATATTCAGGTGTCATTATCTATGCATGCATTTTTATTCTACCTCTTCTCTAAGGTGGCAGGCTCACAGTAGTGGTGGGGAATCTCCTCTTATTTTGTGCCCAAAACTGGCCTTAGAGTACAGGATGAATGACTGGCCCAAGGTAATGCAGGACACTCAACAATTATAAGGGAATTTGAGCCTCTCTTTAAACCTCTTACTTATGGACCCTCTTCAGTTTGCTTTCAAAAATTCTCTGAGCCGCTGAGGATCAATATAGTGTAAGGCAAGGGTCTTCAAACTTGGCAAGTTTAAGACGTGAGGACTTCAACTCCCAAAATTCCTAAGCTTATATGACTGGAGGAGGAATTCTGGGAATTGAAGTCCACAAGTCTTAAAGCTGTCAAGTTTGAAGACCCCTGGTGTAAGGATTCCTTCCCTGATGATCACCTGATAAAAAGGGGGTGCTCAGAGTAAAAACAAAGGGATGGGAAGGGAAAGAGATCCTCTCCCCAAGGGGAGATCACCAGCTGGATTTCTGGTAATTGATCATCCCTAAATAATAGTTGCAAAACTATACCAATCTGTTTCTTAAGAGTTGGCCGTTCGAAGGATGACAATTATACCTTTTGTCTTTTGGCAGAGACAAACCATTGAGCTGGTATTTCTTACCAAAGTGGAATATGAATGGCATAGGAAATCCTACTCCTATTATGTCTATGGGAATGAGCACAAGGTGTATGTGGAGGATTATCCTAAAAAGTGTGGCTGTACTATTATATGATACATGGACCTTCGAACCACGGATGGAGAAACTCTGATCATTCCTGCATTATGTCTGCTCTTCAGCTTTTCTCCCCCAATTCTTTTTTTTACAAGTCATGTATCTCAGGTGAATTATAAACAATTGTGTTAGCCTTTAAACGAAGACCTTCAGACTTCTACAGCTGAAACACTCTGCATATTTTTTGTACAATTGAATGTTTGTTGTTTTTGATGGTTAAAAATACTTGTGTTGGTATATATTAGTTATAACAAATGTTAAAAAGTTGAAGTCAAACATGCCAGAGATTCCATTCCTTTTCTATTTCTGGTTGTGCTTAGTTTCTTCTCTCAAACTGAATTAATTTGTTATGTTCTGAGCATTTAATTCAGGGGTGTCAAACTCAATTTTATTGAAGGCCACATCAGGTTTGTGTTTGACCTTGTGGGGCTGGGGTGGGTGTGGCCAGGGTGGGCAGGGTCAGCATGATGTCACTTGTGTTGGGGGGCACCTGTGGCCCGAGAGCTCTGCCAGTGTAAACAGGCTCCCAAGCTCCATTTTTTGGCTGCGACAGCCTACTGCAACACTGCCAGCCAAAATGGAGCTTGGGAGGGCCATGTGCAGCCCTCGTGAGCTTCATTTTTGTTGGCAGAGGCGCTGCAGGCAGAGGCACTTTGCTATTTCCAGGGCAGCCCTGCAGGCCAGATCTAAGCACCCTGTGGGCTGGATCTGGGGCCCAGGTCATTAATTGACACCCCTGCTTTAATGGAATATTTTGTTTCACTGACTTGGTACCCTTGGCGTGCACTGTTGCCCAATTCCAGATATAATTTTGGATTTTTTTAATCATTAATTTTTAGTTGCACTCTTTTTTTTTAGCATACAGTTTCAATATAAATCAGGAAATGGATAATCCAAAATGACAGAAAGTCTAAGACTTTGTAGAGGCTAAAACTTTTAAATGATTTTGTTCATGGTTAATTCTTCAGTTGATTACTATTATAGCATGTCATTGATAGGACTATATATAAGTAATGCTAATTCACTTTACTCTCACTTTAATGATTGCAAACAGAAAATATCATGTCCTAGTAACCATGTATTATAATCTTTCTGGCCTGAAATTGGAACTAATAAAGTGCAGTGATTCTAAACATATTACAATAAAAAAATGAACACTCTGATATGCTGGTATGAAGTTTTAAATTTTTTTGTATAATATCATAAAAATTTTATAACGTTATATCCTTTTTTCAAGTGCTGGATGGAATGGCTCTATCTTAAAAAGCATTGTAACAAAATGGATTATAGAAAAGAACAAAAAATAAAATATGGTTTCAGTGGAATAAGAAAGAAACAGATAGAAACAGAAATAGCAATCAAAGGGAAAATATTGAAGGATTTGGTTGTGTCATCTAATATGCTTTTAAATTGTGAATACCCCTGGCTCCTTCCTATTGTGAAGATTCCTTTGAAGAAAGCTGACTCACTCCAGTCCCAATGAACTTTCTGTTAGTTAAAGTATAAGAAAGGAAGATTATACTATGAGAAGAAAGCAGATTGGGTCAGTAATGAGGAACCTAGTCCCATTCTTCTGTTGGAAGAAAAATCCATCTGGTTCAGTTCCAAGTTGGGAGAAAGGCACTGGAAATAAAATAGAAGCTGGAGGCTGATTGGAAAGAAAGGTTCCCTTTATTGATGAAGCAGAACCACCAACCACATGTGATTCTGGGACAGCTGACAAAATGGAGTTGAGGTGGGTGGGTTTTTATACCTTCTTTAGGCTTTGTATTTGAGCTTCCTGTTCTTGTGCAAGAACACGTCCTTTCATATTCTTTTAATGGCTGTTGTCAGATTCCTATGGTCATGGCTGGCTCTTTAGGCAAAATTAGAAATTGAAATCCTAGGTGTTTGTCTGAGCTAATCTATAGTTTCTGTCTTGCTCAGTCTTTCTGAATGGATTACCAAATCTATATTTCTGGGATGGCAGAAACGGGCTGGTTTCTGCCTCCCTTAAGGTCCCCCTCCCATTTCTCCTTTAGGGGAAATATTATATCCTGTCTTTTTGATATTCCCCAAAATATTTCATTCTTCTTGGGGGGAGGGGTTTCCCAAAATTCCAAGCTGCATTCTAGGGGATGAATTCCAGTGGTAAATGAATCTGAATCTAGCATGCACCTACTCAACCTGCAGGTTTGCTTCCAGTGCATCTGTTAGACTTAAGCACTGCTTCTGTTTTGAAGTTGCTTTGGATGCTGCAGTTAGGCTTAAAAAAACTCACACCACTTGAGTTCTCTTGTGAGAGGAGTGCCCCTGCCTGAGAAACCTAAAATATGCTACTCTTTCAGTGGAATTTTCCATTGTGGGTCCTTGGTAATCTCTGAGCTTGGTTCTTTTCTTGCAGATGTTTCATTATCCAACTAGATAATACTAGCACCAATGATAGTTGCATAATGAAACATCTGCAAGCAAACAGCTAAGCTCAGAGAGCACCAAGGATCACACGTTTCAATCCTGAGTTACACACAGTATATTCAGAAAGTATTTAGATCCCCTTCACTCTTTATCAATTTTGTTATGCTGCAGTTACTGAAATTCAGTTTTTCTTAAGTACCCCATAATGACAAGGTGAAAACAGAATTTTAGAAATGTCTGTAAATTTATTAAAAAGAAAAAAAAACTGAAATACCACATTGGCATAAGTATTCAGACCCTTCACTCAGTATAGTACTTTGGTAGCAATTACAGCCTTGAATCTTTCTGGGTATGACACAACAAGCTTTGCACATCTGGATTGGAGGATTTTCTGCCATTCTTCCTTGCAAATCCTCTCAAGCTCAGTCAGGTTGGATGACAACTATCAATAGACAGCCATTTTCAGATCCCTCCAAAGATGTTCAATAGGCCTCAAAATCAGGGTTCTCACTGGGCCACGCTCTACGACATCCACAGAATTGTCTTTAAGCCATTCCTGTGTTGTCTTGGCTATGTGCTTAGAATGTTGGAAAGTGAATCTTTGGCCCAGTCTGTGGTCCTCAGCACAGTGGAGCAGGTTTTCATTGAGAATATCCCTGTACTTTGTTCCATTCAGCTTTCCCTCAACCCTGACCAGTCTCCCAGCCCCTGTTGCTGAAAAATACCCCCTGCATGATGCTGCCACCACTGTGCTTCACTGTTGGGATGATATTGGCAGGTGATAAGCAATGCCTGGTTTCCTCCAGACATAATGTTTAGAATTGAGGCCAAAGAGTTCCATCTTGGTTTCATCAGACCAGAGAATCTTGTTTCTCACAGTCTGAGAGTTTTTCAGGTGCTTTTTTGCAAACTCCAAGTGGGCTTTCCTGGATTTTGCCCTCAGGAGAGACTTCTGTCTAACCACTCTGCATAAAGCCCAGATTGGTGGAGAACTGCAGTGATGGTTGTCCTTCTAGAACTCTGTCTCATCTCCACACAGGATCTCTGGAATTCAGTCAGGTTCTTGGTCACCTTTCTTACTAAGGCCCTTCTCCCCTGATTGCTTAGTTTGACCAGGCGACCAGCTCTTGGAAGAGTCTTGGTTGTGCCAATCTTCTTCCATTTGGGAATTATGGAGGCCACTCTGCTCTTAGGAACCTTCAGTGCAGCAGAAATTTTATTGTAGCCTTCCCCAGATCTATGCCTTGCAATAATCCTGTCTCTGAGCTCTGCAGGCAATTCCTTTGACTTCATGGCTTTTGCTCTGCTACAGTAGGCATTGTCAGCTGTGAAGCCTTCTATAGAGAGGTGTGACCCTTTCCAAATCATGTCCAACAATTTAATTTACCACAGATGGATTCCAATCAAGGTGTAGAAACATGTCAGCAACGATAAAGAGAAACGGGAGGCTCCGGAGATAAAATGTTGTTGCAAAGAGTCTGAATAGTTATGCCAATGTGATATTTCAATTTTTTCTTTTTAATACATTTACAGACATTTCTAAAATTCTGTTTTCATGTCGTCATTATGGGGTACTGAGTGTAGATTAATGGAAAAAATGAATTTCAACAACTACAGAGTCAGGCTACAGCAGACCAAAATTAACAAAAGTGAAGGGGGGAACTGGATACTTTCTGAGTGCACTGTATATTCTCTATTAATTTTCCATTGATTATACTTGTAGAGAAACTTCTTTGAAAATACTGATACGGTCACGACTCCAATGAAGAACGGACTGGAGCCGAGACAGTTGAGATGTGATACGACCCTAGTCTTTTACTTACCTTACATTAATTGTGTTACAATGTTGGCGTTATGATAAAAATTCCTCAAATGACTGACATCGACTTCCTGACAAGAAGTGGTGCAATAATGATGATTCATGGCTGGATGTCAAGGGGGTGGTGTTGTAATAATGGTGCGGGGAAAATGGGGGATGGGGTGAATTGTCATGGGGGTGCATGGACTCATCTAACGGGAAAGGTGCAGTTACCGCGTTTCTTTAATTTAAGATGTCAGATGTTAGGCAGCGAAGGCGGCCGGAAGGTGGTTATCGTAATTATGTTATTATCCAAGGAATAACATGTATAAATACAGCTCTGGGTTGCAACGAAAACCAGAGCTGACTTTAAACATAATTTGATCGCTGTTACCTGTTGTTGTGGTGTGGGAGATGAATAAAAACTTCACTGAAGCTACATGAGTGAGTTGGTATCTTATTGTTCACCCCCTCAATATCGGACGAACAGCTGACAGATACAGTTAGGATGAAATGGTAAGAGGCGCAATTTGTTGGTGAAGTGCAATCGTGATTTTTCTTGAAGCAGAAAAATAAAAATAGTAGAGTCATAGATAACTGGCTTAAAATGGCAATACACCTGCCTACACCTTCCTAGATTATTTCTCAAAAGCTAGAATTATTGCATCAAAACCAGCATTTGTCATTTTCCTTCTTTAGAAGCTCCTGCATTATTAAAACTTCAACAGCCAGTTGTCTTTCCACGACCTTGCTTTATTATCGTTGGTGGCATTGCAAACTATGTGTCCTACTTTATAAATAGGTATATTTTAATTTATTTTAAGATTACTTATTTTAATTGTGTTGCACCAAAGCTTTATTCTCATTCTGAAATCCTATGGGACCACAACACAGTTTCTTCCGGAAGCAAGGAAACAATCTGTTCTTGGCAAAAGAAAGAAAATTGTCAAGATGCAGTATCTTTAATATAACAGTTGGATAGGGCCATTCTTACAAGATTATCTAGCAGTGATCAGGTCCTTCAATTTTGTCTCCTTTGAGGTTAATTATTAGGCTTTTAAAATGTTCTAGTTATAAATAGATCAGATCTTTCAGATGGTTTCTTTTTGATATAATTGCCTTGGTTCTGTAAGTTCCGTGTGAAATGCAGCCCATTAGAAAAGGCTGCAGAGGTATTCAAGGACATGGGAGCAACTTGTGGGGTCCATTTTGGATTTACAAAGAAAATTAATGGACAATCTCTTCCTCCTTATCTATGCTTTAAAATTAGGCTGATGAAGTGGTACCTATGTACCTTCCTTCTGTTCAATCATGTCCAATTCTCAGAGATTAGAAAAGTTCGTGCAATTTTCTTGGTAACATTTTTTCAGAATTAGCTTGCTATTGCCTGCTTCCTAGGGCTAAAAGAATCACTGGCTCAAGTCATCTAGCTGAATTTGTATCTAAGGCGGGACTAGAACTCATAATCTCCCAGTTTCTAGCTTGATGCCTTAACTGCTATGTTAAACTGGTTCTCAATCTTATGATTAGGAATATATATAACTTCC